CATGGAAAGATTATATGAAGCACACTCCAGACTCGGCCGTCTATCGACGTCAATGCACTTTTGCGGTACGTCCTAAGGACATGTACTCGAAGGAGTTGCAACGTGATGCTGCTCATATGGGGAAGAGAGCTAAAACTTGGACACTAGGAGATGTATTACCGGCTATATAATATTCTCTTTTTTGACGTCGCAATTGGAGCGAAGCGCTTGTTGTTGGTATAAAGTCGTGAGTATACACAAGCAGGATTCTTGTATTTTGTGTGTGTTTGTCGTCCCATTTGTTTCGGGACGCCGGTTTTTCGGTACAATTCTGGATGCCCCTGCCGGGGTCGACCAGGAGGAATGCCACACAAGGAGTTGTTTTTATCCGCCTTCCTTACTGCGGGAGCGCAAATAATACAGTATAGTTTTTGATGTTTTTATTGCCGGTTTTTCATGCTTAGCTTGTGATCGCTATAAGAGCTCCATCCTTTTTCGTTTGGTGTTACTGGTGACAAGGATGACAAGGACACCTTCGAAGTGCTGTAGGTGTGCGTCGTACTCCAAATGGCAGTTCAGTGCCTTGTGCTGCACACGGGTTCAGTTGTGTTTTGATTGCTCAACACGAAAAGAAACATCACCGCTGCTGTGTGACCGCTACCCTCCTTGCATTTTTCAGGTTCGCGTTGCCCCCGGTTCCTCCTTCGGGTTCGTGGAGTTCGAGCGGCATGAGGATGCTGCTAATGCGATTGCCAAAATGGAGGGCTTTGATATCGGGGGCAACCACGTGCGGCTTAGCTGGGGAAACCACAAGTCGGTGCGTGTTGGTTGTGATGGTGTCGTGGGTGTCGTTGTTTGTTTTTGTCGTTTTTGTTGTTGTTCTCTCTGTTGTTGTTGTCTCTGTTGTTGTTGTCGTTGTTGTCGTCATTGTTGTAGCTGTTGTGCTAGTCTTTGTTGGTTGGTTGTCGTTGCTGTTGTCGTCGTTGCTGCTGCTCCTGCTGCTGTATTTCTCGTCGTTGGCATTGTTACCTCCGAATTGTCACCCAAGCGCCAAACCCGCCTGGTCTCTACGCCCACAACGTCTGCAATATACAACCCCCCTACACCGTAGCACCAACCAACAGAGTTTGCAAGGCCACATGCCTTCTAATCCAAACGCTGTCAGAAGCAGCTCAAGGACATTAGCGGCTACGTTGTAGGGGCAAACCCAGCCTCAGTCTTATCCGTCTAAAGTATTCATCCCCAATGCTCTCTCGGCCCTTCTATGCATATGGCAGTTTTGTGCACGCCCTCGGCGTAACCCCCCACCCAAGATGCAGAACAATAAGCCAAAATCACGAAAGCAAGCAACGAGAGTGTGCTTCTCCCCCCCTCGCCTCACCGACTGGTCAACCGTCAAAGTGACGACGTCGAGCAGCCCAATGAGCACCCCCCTTCCGCCCCACATACTAGTATGGTCAAGTTAACGAAGTCAAGCAGCCCAATGAGTTCCCCACCGATTGATGGCCAATGGTCAAAGTAACGAAGTCAAGCAGCTCAATGAGTTCCCCAACGATTGATTGGCCAATGGTCAAAGCAACGAAGTCAAGCAGCCCAATGAGTTCCCCACCGATTGATGGCCAATGGTCAAAGTAACGAAGTCAAGCAGCTCAATGAGTTCCCCAACGATTGATTGGCCAATGGTCAAAGCAACGAAGTCAAGCAGCCCAATGAGTTCCCCACCGATTGATGGCCAATGGTCAAAGTAACGAAGTCAAGCAGCTCAATGAGTTCCCCAACGATTGATTGGCCAATGGTCAAAGCAACGAAGTCAAGCAGCCCAATGAGTTCCCCACCGATTGATGGCCAATGGTCAAAGTAACGAAGTCAAGCAGCTCAATGAGTTCCCCAACGATTGATTGGCCAATGGTCAAAGCAACGAAGTCAAGCAGCCCAATGAGTTCCCCACCGATTGATGGCCAATGGTCAAAGTAACGAAGTCAAGCAGCTCAATGAGTTCCCCAACGATTGATTGGCCAATGGTCAAAGCAACGAAGTCAAGCAGCCAATGAGTACCCGCGCCAACGGAGGAAGGAACGACCGGCCATCGGTGATCGGTCCTGTGGGAACAATGCTCCGTCCTCTCGAGGACGCGTGGTCAATGG